GGGGTAATAGTTCCCCTCACAGAGCAGCCTAGTTGTACAGTTATGAAACAGTCTGCAGAGCTCATCAGCATATGCAAGTGCCCTCTTTTTCTTTTATTTTTTTATTTTTTATTTTTTGTTAGTAGGCGGGTGGCATTGTTGGTTTGTTTTTGTTTTCAAATGAGAAGTTACTTTATCTAAAGGCAGGGAGCTCGTAACTGAAAAATAATGTTGGTGAGTTTTTTCAATTGAAAAAAAAACAACATTCCAAATCTTGTTTCTAGAGGGAAACAAATCCCTGAAGCCTTTTTTGTTGTTGTTGTTTCACTTTGTTTTAATGAGAGGAATACATTCTCAAAAATGAGTTAACACCTAGCATTGCCTTTAGTCATTGCATTTAATCTTTTCCGAAAGCTAAAGCTCAAAGTTATAAAAAGACTGTTCTTACAACATCTCAAAGAGGGCTGAGCATAATTGGGTGCATTCTGAAAGATCTTAACCCTGGAAGATTTTTGTGCACAAAATTACTACAAAGAGATCATGAAATACTTAATTTTACTTGTTCTTCCTAACTTAATTCTAGACCCAATTCTTTGCTTTTCTTTAGTCTCCCTACTCATTTTGAAAGAATAACATGAATGATGGAGAAGCATCTTCCAAAGACTTTAAGTTTATATATTTTATATGAATGTATCTTCACCTCTCACTTAAAAATACAACTAAGAATCATAGAATCATTTAGGTTGGAAAAGACCTTTAAGATCATCAAGTCCAATTCTGCCACCAAACCACGTCCCTAAATGCCACAGCTATGCATCTTTTAAATACCTCCAGGGATGCTGACTCAACCACTTCCCTGGGCAGCCTGTTCCAATGCTTGACAACCGTTTTGGTGAAGAAATTTTTCCTAATATCCAATCTAAACCTCCCCTGGTGCAACACCATTTCCTCTCATCCTATCACTTGCTACTTTGGAGAAGAGACCAACACCTACTATTGCAGAAGTGCAAGACCAACAAAATATGTGCCAAAAATCAGTTTAATGGTGTCAAAACTCGAATGGTCAAACTTAACAGGGATCTTGTATTACAAATACCTTGGCAGACACAACTTATTTACAGGTTCATTATGTCAGTTAGGAAACCAATACTGCATGGTGTGTAGCTAAATCTAAGTTTACAATGATTCAAAATGCACAAACCACTCAACCATAAAGTGGGGACACTCCATCCAGGGAAGTTTCTTTGGACGAAATTCTGATCCAAAGGGAGAGTTTCCTGACTGCAGATGGGCTGCTCCAAGGAATACTGGCTCAAAGGGTTCTTCTGGCAGAGTCCTTTTATACTCAAAATCAGATCAGGGTTTGGTGTCGTACACAGATCCACTAGGTTGAGAGGATCTCCTAGGTAGGCTTATAGGCTGAGGTGGTCTTTGGTGGGCTCAGGTGCCTCGGGTACGTGACTTGGGGGTCTCTGCATACATGACCTACAGCACATGCACTTCCCACCAAAGCAGCCACCATGTTCCCCTGCAGTGGGATGTTACACTCACTAGGGGACAGGAGTCCACCTGCCACACCCACCTTGCTACAACCTCCTTTCAGGTGGTTGTAGAGACCAATAAGGTCTTCCCTCAGCCTCCACTGCTCCAGACTAAAGAACCCCAGTTCCCTCAGCTGCTACTCATAAGATCTCTTCTCTAGACCCTTCACCAGCTTTGTTGCTCTTCTTTGGACACGCTCCAGCACTTCACTATTTTTCTTGTAGAAAGGCCCAAAACTACACATGGTATTCAAGGTGTGGCCTCATCAGTGTTGAGTACAGAGGGACAATCACTTCCCTACTCCTGCTGGCCACACTATTTCTGATGCAAGCCAGGATGCTGTTTGCCTTCTTGGCCACCTGGGCACACTGCTGGCTCATATACAGCCAACTGTCAACCAGCACCCCCAGGTAATTTTCTGCTATTTTCATTATGAAAAGGTGAATTTTCAGGCTTAAAATTTGAGTCATGCCTTTTGGCAGATGCTTTGTAAGAACATGGGGCTTTCTTGTGTTCTTTCATGGGTACTTGTAAGACATTATGCCTGCATATTTATTTAGACAAATACAGTTTTGATGATTGTAGTCCAGTATGTGGTATTTGAACAACTATAAATATGCACAATTTGAGGAGGGGAGAAAAAAACCCAACCAAACAACCCTTGGTACTAAATAGAAATACGTGGTCCCTTCTTTTCCAGTTATTGCACAGAAGTTTAGTGGATAGAATTTAAAGACCTCATAAGCATCTAACATTTTCTTGTACATTGGAGTTACCATTTTGTACTCAATTACCAGTGGATAGACCATACCAAAAAAACCCAGACCCAAAAACATGAGTACAAAATTATTCTTCCCCGATTTCCTGTTTAATCTCAGTACAGATGTTTATCACATTCTAAGGAATTTAGCTTAGTAAATAACCTCTAAAGACTGTGAGGTAGCACATCTGAACAATGCTCTTAGTCATACTTGATATATTCCATGATTCTAAATACAGAGGATGAGTACCAACTACTGCAATTAACAAAGTCAATTGTCAAAGAGTTAAAAACTGAATGGATTATGTTTAAAGGTATTTTATTCTACCAACAAAAACCACTTCCTCAGGTTGTTCCTTCTCATCATGGATTATTTGTTCCCCTTAACAAAGAAAACAACAAGAACAACAAATGAACAACTCTCTCCACTTAACATCCAACAGAATTACTAAAACATTTGCCAGTCTTAATATCATGGTACACTGTTGGAGAGTCCTATTTGGCAAGAAGTCTGAAACAGTTCTTATAACTGAAATGGGCCTTTGATCTAAGATTAGGCAAACTAGCACATAAGAAAGAAAATAATATATTCCTTTCATACTCAGTACCGTATTGGCAGACTAACTGGGAACTAATTTGAACTTTTTAAACAATTACACTATTCAGCAGTTGTCTTTATATTATGGACTTGTTCTCATATGAAAAGACTTCACACAGCTACAAAACTACTAGTAAATATATAAAGTTGGCAGAGACCCATAAGGATCATCAAGTCCAGCTCCCTGCTCCCTGAGGACTACCTAAAGTATGAATTGAAATGGAATTTGGAGATGGCTCTAACCAATTTGTTAATGAAGTATTTTCTTGTAATGTCTTACTTCTTTTGTTTTTTATTTCCTATTTATGCCAAGAATTATACTTTAGTATTTAGATGCAACATAACTTCATAAAGTGACCATATCTAAATAATGCAAGCCTTTGGACATTATGGACCTCATTTTCAAATGGATAAGCATATGGTCACTGTCTGATTTATACATGGGAACTGCTTGAAACATCAACACTGCTGTTTGTCTTTTATGGTTCTTCATCATGAGAAGATGAAGCTTGTGGAACTTTTTTCTTCCTCCTACTTTACTCAGTCTTTTTGGGGAATGTTCTAGTTTAGCATGTATAGAATACTAGCTAGAGAAGTATCTGGAAAAATATCATTGTTGTTGGTAAAGAATCACTTGTTATTTTCCATAGAATACTATCTTTATTCTTGCTAAAGAGACTCAAAAAGCATTTATACTTTCCTCTGAAAGTTTGAATGAGCCTCTTTAACTTCATAGAGTTTCTAATAGTTTTTATTTATTCAGGGAACAGAAAAATTTATTATTTGATTTAGATAGATAATCACATTGTTACAATTCATAGGGTCTGAATTATGTTTCTTTGATGTTATAACACCTCATTCTCTTTGCTTCATGTTCAGTAGCTTTTCATTATTTGCCGGAAATAATTGAATTTAAAATAAAAGTAACCAATATCTGAAAAGGTACACCCCTCTGGCTCTTTCTAAAGCCTTGTGGGCCCAGATATCTATTTTTTACAGTGAAGTGCCTTGCACTGCTCTCAGTCTCTACTTTTATCAAATAATCAATTTCATTTCTCACAGAACTGAAAATTTTAAAGTTTCTATTTTTTTTACTTTTAGATTAGCATTTCTCTTCTTTTTTTCATCTAAGTTGAAAGAACTGGAATCTTCCATTTTCACAGTTTTAAATATATCTTAATCTTTTTTTAATGTTCTCATAAGTAGTATTTAATACCTTGTTAATAGTAAGTACTTGTCAATAATCATCTTCTGATAAATATCTGTTAGTACCTGAAAAGTACCTGGTTTGTGCTATAAAAGTCAATCAATTTTACCATTTTTTCTTTTGAAATCTGAGGAACATTTTATACATTCTTAACAAAACCTTTCTTTAATTGTGTCTGAACAGTAAATAAAATCAGTTGTTAGATAATTACTCTATATGATTCAGTAACATGGATTTTTGTTGATCTAATTAATTAACCATGTGTGTGGATTAGATATATGAACTCAGAAAACTTTGTTATCCTAAATTAAGGTTAAAATATTGGCAATAAAAGAGAATATTTCCTGTCAGACTATTAATTGTGACCTCAAAAAAGAGTAGTGTGAAAGCTTAAAAATCCTTCCTCTGGTTATTAGGATAGCAGTTTCTAGTACTGAAGACATATTTTAGAACTTCTTCAATTTAATAAATATTCATTATAACCCTAAAGTGTAAATAGATTATAACTAAAACCATTCTGATTTTTCATCTTTTGGGGAATAAAAAGTTAAATTTGACACTGTCAGACCAAAATCAGTCCCAATCTATGTTACTTAAAATAGATATTTTTTAATACTGTTGCTCCATAAATAGCAGGAAAATAAATAAGATTTGGTTATCCATTATTATATTAAAATATTACCTATGCTTTACTTTTGTAAATGTACAATTACTGTACCTCTTATTTTATTTTTCTTTTCAAATTAAAATACATTATGAAACATAGAAAAATTATGTCTTATGATTTTTAAGATGCCCAGGTTACTATGAGTTAAAGACATCAGCCTCATGCTATAAAGAATTTTTTAATCATATTGTTCCTGTTTCTTTTTCTGTCTTTTGATTGTTCTTCTCACCACCCCAACCCTTCCTAGCCTGAAAGACTGCAGTTTGAGAATACCTCTGAATTAGAAAATAGAGAGAGACCTGAAGCAGAAAAGCAGGTAAAAGAAATTGAGGGACTTCCAGAGATGGAAAATAAAGAAGCACTAACTAAATCAAGTTGTGATCATCAAGACACACAAAGGAAGCTGCTGGTTAAAAATAAGGTACGTGCATTGTTTAGTTTGATTACTTGGGGAGTATTGCCAAGAATTACTATTTCAGAATGTCAAAATGTGTCCCTAAAACAAGAGTTGTGCAAGGCAGAACAGCCCTGTCTGCACCTCAGACCTGGAAAATCAGAACTCAGTGACTTCGAAATTCTGTAGGGTACAGAAACAGAAATGAGTATCTTTTCATTTTTAGAAGGAGCAGGGGGAAATGACAAGTCTGACAAGAACAAAAGTGAAGACTAGGAGGAACAGAAGAGGTTAAGTAAGCTTTGGTAACTACAGAGTCCTGATGAAGGTCAAAGCAAAAAAAGCAAAAAAAATTGTTTCTCTATCTTGCTGAATATTGAATCTCTTAGGGAATCAACAACTGAAGGAGGAGCCTTATTTCTTATTTTTTTATTCCTCTGAAGATCTGTTCACTTTTAAACCTTATTGTACTGCTAAAAATGATGTGTTAAATTATTCAGAGACTCTTAGCTGTGGGTATTTCCTTTATTTTATGTTTTTATGCCAATAATTAGGTAGTAATCCAGAAGGCTCCCACTTTCATTGAGACTCTGAAAGCTGTGTAAGAGAAAGCAAAGAAAAAGAAATCCATCCAAGCAGTAAATGTACATACTCGATGATACAAGTTGGGTAGTGTGAAACAGTAACATTCTTATTTGCCTAAATAAGAAATAATTTAATGTCATTTATGTACATTTACTGTGGAATAATGACAACCTGAGTAACTATAACCAGATTTGGGGTATAAGTACACTGGTAATTTCTTTTTTTAGGGAAAGATTAAGAGAGAAAGGTTCTGTACTTGAGGTCTGCTTTTAAATGTAATTATATGATTTTCCTATATTTTTGTGATGGCTCTGAAACAGCAAATTGCAATTCATGCACATAGCTTATCTTTATAAAATCTCTTACATAACAAACACTTGTTTGATATTTTACTTTACTGATATTTATTTTATCATGTCCTATCACATCACATCACATCACATCACATCATATAATATAATATCATATCATATCATATCATATCATATCATATCATATCATATCATATCATATCATATCATATCATATCATATCATATCATATCATATCATATCAGCTTTTCCATTATTTCTTTGTAATACAAGTAATTTGAGGTTGGAGATGTGGCTAGAAAGATACTTATTTGCTAAGGCATGTTACTGTATTTCAAAAATCTTATATGGATGTGTTGGGGGGTTTTTTGCTTGTTTTTTAAAATGTTACTTGCATAGATTATTAGACTACTGTGATCATCTCTGTCTATTAGAATCACACTTCTAACTAACACAACTTTACTTCTTTTTATCAAAGTCAAAAGACAGAGACGGAGCCCAGTCATCTCTGTTTCCTTATCATAAAAGTGAATGTCCCTGCAGTGTTTGCCTTTTCATAGCTGATGATTTTAGGATAAGATTGTCTTCAAAAGTAATGTTTATCAGCTTAAAGGAGAAAATAAAAAATTTTCTATGTCAGCTGAAACTATGTAATCTGTCATCTGGTGGATTGGTAACAGTTATCAAGTAAAGCAAGGTCAGTTCTAAGGTCAGACCAAGTAGCTCAAGGCTTTGTTCAGTGGGGTCTTCAAGACCTCCAGGACTGCGTAACCTATCTGGACAGCCTCTTTGTCATGGGTTGACCCCAACAGGCAGTTAGGCTCCAACCCAGTCCTCATTCAGTCCTAAACAGTGGGATGGGGGAGACAATTGGAAGGGCAAAATTGACAAAAAACTCATGGGTTGAGATAAAGATAGTTTAACAAGTGAAGGGGGGAAAAAAAAAAAATGTTAAAAAAAAAAAGTGATGCAAAAGCAATCATACACCACCAGCAGACCAAAGCCCAGCCGGTCTCCAAGGAAAAGTTATTTTGGAAAAACAATCATCCCTCTATTGCTGCAAGGGACTCTTCCTTCCCAGGTGCAGGACTTTGTCATTGCTGAATTTCACAAAGTTCCTGTTGGCCCCTTCCTTCAGCTTGGTGACGGAGCTCCTTGATTGGAGGATAACACCTACAAGCAAGGATATTGCCTCTGCCTGCAACAGCCTCAGGAGGAGATAGCATGGCCTTGATCAGAGCATTTTCCATCCAGAGATGTGAACTGAGGCACCTGCTGTGCCAGGAGCAGTTTCTCCAGTTCCCTGTACCACAGGGCATCATTCTCTGTGGTGCATCACCACCAAAGTTGAGCAGTCCTGTAGCCTTCAGCAGTGTTTCCAGACAGGACTCCTTGCCAGGGCCTACCATAGTATTATAGTCATACTTGCTCACTGTCTTCAGGGCTTCTGGTCTCTGTTTGCAGACAGAGCAAACAGTACCACCATAAATATTCTTCTGTGACAACAAAACCCCATTGACAACATGATTAAAATAAAAGGTCAGCAATATTAGAGGAAAGAAGGAATGTGGGAAACTCTTAATACCTCAATGAACTCTGTATTCATAGCAGCAAAAAGTTAGTAAGATAGAAACAGCCATCTGAGAAAAATGACTCTACAAAGAGCTTATCTCCAAATCAGTGATGGCATTGGAGACCTGGATAGCCATATGTGAAGAAGATAGCGGTTTGTAGTGTTAGTTAGCATATTTTTTAACCTTGCTGCTGCCAGTAAGTGACAAACAAGAGTTAAGGAAGGACAGACTGACTTTTTCAAGGATTCCAGCCTAACTCAAGTTATATCTTAGGTGGAACCTGTCTATTCCTATGTAGAGGCATCTAAATGTCACTGTTGAACCTTTCTAATTTCTGAGACTGTCCATATCTAATTTGGTCTAATATCATCAATAACCTGAAAAGAATGACTTGACTTCTGGTTCAGGAGCCTTTATTTTCTGGGATGGTAGCTTGAGTTTAAACAAAATAATATGTTTTATGCAGGGTTAGAAGAGTGCAGGAGGATGATTTCTGTAAAATATATGTGATGGTTAGATGTTCATGTTAGCACAGAGAAGCACATGCAAGATTGAAACCACAGCTGTCTAAAAGATCTTTGTGCATCTTAATCAGAATGATTAGGGCTTTACTTAAACAGTAGACACAAGTGATATAGGTAATGTGTTATGGAATGAATTCCAGAGCAAAACACAGTTGCCTAACACTCTGTCTTCTCCAAAACCCATATTTGTGAGATGATTTGGGAGATCCATTGTCGTTTAGAGCAATATACAGTGTTATTAATTGTTGTATGGCTGATTTATCCTTTTAGAGGTCATAAACAATGGCAACATTTTTTTCTATATTAACAGTTTTAATAAGATTAAAAATAGTATAAAAATACAGACGTGAAGTCCTTACATCCTTGTCTAAGTGTTTTCATGTTGACAATTATTTTGCTCTTTAATATGTATACCTCCACAGAACATAGAATTTGTGCAATCTTTTGTCACTTATGGTAGTAAATCACACAGACTGAAGTTCTGAACACAAAAGTTAATGTTTATTACGTTTGCACAAAATGTAGAATCCTTAATATTATTCTTAGCTGGCAGTATGTTAGTTTAAAATGTTTCCATATGCAGTTTTCGAAAGGTTAACTGTTGCACAAGATCAACGGAACTGATGAAACAATTGAGATCAGACATTGTTACTATGTGGTTTTATCGATTATATTTCTTGGAGTGGAGAATACCATTTAAATTAATAGTTGTATTATTTGACAAATAGCATGGAAACAAATATTTAATGGATCTAACTGGTTCATCTAGGAAGGGATAAAATGAAGAAAAATAAATCTTGTTGATGCTATAGATCAATACCCAAAATATGCTGTTTATGGAAAGAGATTTTCTATTTAATCTGTGAATGTGACCTTGAAACACAGAAATTAATTTTGAAGAAAAATAACTGTTATTTTGTATTACCTCTAATTACTAAGTGCAAAATACTAAACTAGAGTTTGTGGATGCATAGGATATTTTTTTTTTCTTTTAAGTTTAACTTCTATCTTTACTATAATAAGGCTATAATATTCTTAGGAAAAAATGCATAGATTTGAAAGATGGAATGATGAACAACATGTATTTTTAAGATTAAATCATTTAGTTTAACATTACCTAGCAAGGCAGTTTTTAAATCATCAAAATTTTAGGCTTGTTTTTTCAAAAATAGAAAGCACTATTTTTTTTATGCAAATAACTTGAAAAATTGCCTGTGTTGGGTCTATATGACAAGACTCAAGGAGATCATAGGTGTGGCCCTGGGGAACAGGAGCTGGCCTGTGCCAGACACAACTGGTTCCCACTGGCTCCAAAAGGGACCCATCACTGCCCAAAGCTGAGACCATCAGTGGTGCTGGTGGCACCTCTGTGAAAACATTTAAGATACAATAAAAATGCTGAGCAGCAGTGTGTGATAAGGAGGAGTGAGACAAAAATGTGAGAGAAACAGCCCTGCAGACACTGAGACAAGAGAATAATGAAGGCAGGTGTTCCAGGCACTGAAGCAGAGTTTCCCCTGCAATTCATGGAGAAGGTCATGGTGAAGCAGGTTGTCCTCCAGCAGCCCATTGAGAACCATGGTGGAACAGATAGCCATACTGCAGTCCATGGGTAACTCCACGCCAGGTCAAGTGGACATGCCCTAAAGGAAGATACAGCCTGTGGAGAGCCCATACAGGAGCAGGCTCCTAACAGGCGTTACAATGCATGGGGTCTGGAGCAATCTGTTCCTGAAAGATTTGCTCCATGGAAAGAACCTGGTCTGAAGCAGTTCTTGAAAAACTGTAGCCTGTGGGAAGGACCCATGCTGCAGCAGTTCATGGAGGACTATCTCATAGGAGGGACCCCACACTGGAGCAGAGGAACAGCATGAGGAGGAAGGAGTGGCAAAGAAGAGCTGTTACAAGGGACCCATAACCTGCCATTCCCCATCTCCCTGTGCCTCTGGCATGGAGGGAGGAGGTAGAGGGGTCAGGAGTGAAGGAATTAAGTTGAGTCAAGGAAGAAAAGTGAGGGGGAAATAAGATATTTT